GGGATGATTATCTTTTAATACCAATTATCCCCATCATTGCAACTGCGGGCTGATGAAGACGCAAATTAGCTGGATAATTTGCAATCGGGATAGTTAAAATAGCGGGTTATTTGGCAATCTCGAGCTGATGAGGACATACCTCATGTCAATACCTCTGCCCTGATTGACGATGATGTGATAGCAAAGTACACACACCCATATTCTTAATTAAGATGAATTTAGCATCACACGGTTACCATGACGATGAACCATTGGAAGCTTCTTGTTTCACACTTGGAGGGTCCCAGAAGGGCGCTTTATGTTCTTGCGTGACCCTGATAACCTTTGCTCCTACTTCCGGCTTCTATTTCATCACAAGCTTTAAGGTTTGATAGTAATGTGATATGTCATTTATCTGGTTGATATATTGTCTGTTTGACACTGATTTTTTTATATATTTTAATACTGATGTTGAAAGAAATCTGTGACTGTAGATGGAGAAAAGTTTGTTTCTCATGAGACTAATTTAAATTGTGTCTTGGAATTTGGTTTATACTTTTCAGTTTTTTTTCATCCAGGTTGAAATCATTTTACCTGTGAGCATAATCTGAAATCTGTCATCCTTACATATAAGGTCAAATATACATATATGTATAAACATTTTTTAAAGATTGACACCAGTTTCACACAAGGTTAATACCTTTTTTTTTAGTGCCACTGAGTGTTTTGTAGCAATTGTCAGAAATGGAATTTTGAAAGTTGAAAATTCACTTTCAGTAAGTTGTCTCATTAGTAAATTGGGCATAACATATACAGCATGAGATAAGAATTTACTATGATTGTGGCTTTTATCTTTCTTTTTTTCATTAGAAAGAAAAATGAAGAAAGTCTTGAGTCCTAACAAAAATATTCAACTCTGAAATTCTTGGGCAGGACTCACTGACTCAGTATGAAAGGGGGTTAGGTTTGTTTAAAGGGCAACCCAACCCTTGTAATGAGTTGATTCTTATGGAAGCAGAAAAATAAGATAAACAGATTTCGAGAGATTAAAATGAATCGGACCAATAATAATAAAGTTATGAATGTTTGGAACCCATACATTTTGACAAAAAATGATATTTTTAGTCATTTTGTATGTTGGAACAGATCGGAAAATAGTAAATGTTTAAAAGCCTGTCTGATGTTCTATTTTCATAGAAAAAACGGTTGAGTAAATTCAAAAATGGTTGGGAGACTTTACTGTTGAGGGTATTGCACAGATGCCTTCTAAGAAATCCATAAATATCTTTGTGGTTTCAAAAATTTGTCAGGATTTTTTGCATGTTGGAGGGTTGGTACAGTAGGAGGAATATAATATGTAACATTTCATACAAAAATTACTCAGTTTTTTGACTGACATTCAAAAAATGTTACCGAGTCACTTTAAAGGTAATACAAAATTTTGGTATGGGGTCATGAATTTGGTTCAAATGAACATATTGGAAGCATATGCGATCCTACAATATTCAGTGATCGTTGTCACGGTTGAAACCGAGTCCAAAGTTATGAAATTTTAAATAATACACTCTTTATGTTGTATAGCTCCCTCTCAAGGTCAATATATTAATTAAGCTATAAAACAATGTTTCACACCTAAAATCGACCGATTAACATCCCGTTTGAAAATTATATATCACAACTACATATTCTGAGATTTTCATGGTCGCTGCTACCATTGTACGGCCGTAGGAGCTATTTGAAATTCATCAAAGTTTACAGGGAGCACCGGTAAATTTTTATATTTAATATTTCTCGAAAGCCAAAGTGTTTTAGGGTCTGAATTTTCTAGTGATTATAATACATCCACATGGGCATCCAAATATTGTAAAGAATCACTTCCAGCCAATTTCCAAAATTTCCCAAACTTTGTATTACCTTTAATGCTACCAAGTGCTCCGAGTTCACAAAGTGATTTATACATAGGGTTCTTGGAATACGTGACCAAGGTGTGATGTGTTCCAGGACCTATCTGGGAGTGAAGATTTATTCCACCTCAATCTCAGAATGTGTCATAAATTTGTTTAGATAACGACATCATTTTCATCTAGGTTTATGTCTTGTCGACCAATCATCAGGGAATCCTTCATTTCTACTGATGTTTCAGAGAGAGCATAAAAAAGCCCCAGTTTTAAATTGGAAGAATTAGGGCAGTGGGGGTGTGTGCAATGTGGTTGGAGTGGCCGGTGCTAGTGATTTGTACTTCTTGAAATGCGGACCGATGATGGACGAATTGCTCATTTGTTCCTACCTTTCGCTCTTAAATTACACCTGATGAGGGGGAAATAATAATTCTAGGTCAGGTATCTGGGCCTGGAGATTGTTTTATTGAAGTATTCTGGCCCAGTTTGTGTTTTAGTCACATCCTCCTTTCAGCACTAGACCCGTAGACCTCTCTCTCCCTCTCTCTCTCTCTCTCTCTCTTTCTCTCTCTCTCTCTCTTCATAGCTTTTTCTACATCTCTGTATCTAGATGGGTAAAGTGAAACAGACATCCCTCGTAATGTAGACCAAATGTTTGCTTAAAAATCACGAAGAGGATCTGGTCTTTATTAGATTTGAGAGATGTGGGCCATTGCGTTTCGGAGACGGATTACTACTGGATGATTCGTGTGATTGGGCTTTTCACACCTAGCTCTGTTTCGCTTCCCTTTCCCCCCACGGGGCTTGTGCCGGATCGTGATCGGGCGCTCTCTCTCCCTCTCACGGAGAGCACAAGAGAGTTTATAACAAGAAGGAAGAGAATAGGGGGCTTTTAACCCGGTTTAAAAGGCTTTGACCTGTTGTTTATTGTGCACCTGAATTAAATTGAATAGGGCAGGTTGCGGAAGTGGATAACGACTTTCAGATATTGTCTGCTGCTCCGAAAAGGACGAAAAGGACGTGGACCTAATTGCTTGAGACAGATTTTCACACTTTGGTCCAAACCCTTAAGATGATCGTGTAAAGGACAGAAAAAAGAATTACTGGTACCCTTATTGATCAAGTGGTTAGAACCCAAATCCATCGTCACGGTAACAGACAGTTCGGGGGAGTGACCCACATTTTTTGATGGTGTCAAGATGTACAGTAATGGGGGAATAGGGGTAATATTTTTCACTTGGATAGATTTCTATATTCATTCACAGAAATATAACACAGATTTCTTTAAGTAATTAATAGATCATCTGTTGAGAGACAGAAGGGCTTTAAATATATGTTAATGTACATGAGCTAGCACCCTTCTGGCTCCAAACCAACTATAGTGTAATTTTCTGGCCTGCTTGATGAAGACCACCAGTTCTTTTGTCTAAGTACACTGATGATTTTGTTATGTCATACCAACGGTCTTCAACAATGGGACTTCAATTTTAAAATTTTGTTGGGTTTTTTATGCCAAAAAAGGAAGTATATACCAGAGAATTCTATGACTCTTGCAAACTGCTTACAGCATGAAACTTTCGCCAATTACAAAGTTGAGTGTTTTGATCACTGATTCCATTATTTCATAGCACGAAATTTTACTTATCTGGACCACTGAAAAAGTTCCTGCATTATTGGCAATAAAAGCAGGTGACCTACAGCTTACTTTCATGTATCTGAGGGACGTACTGGCCAATGGACACTTGATGCCTGTATACCCAAAGGCAGAAGATCACTTATTTCAAATAAACATTGTATAAAAGAGGTGCCCTGAAGTTCTGGTAGTTCAAATCTAAAAGGTTAGGCCACATCAGAAGGTTGGCTTTTTAACCCTTCTCTACTATTAATAAGTAGATGTAGGTGTCATCAATTGGTTTGATGAGACATTTTGTCGTTCGAATTCAATTCCATGAATTACTATTTTTTTTTAAATAGTATTTTGCCAATCTTGATCATTGTGGAAATGCACTTAATGAAAGCCACTCACTTTTTTTTAAACAATATTATTTTCTAGTGATTTATCTTGTGTGACACTCGATCAGCCTAGAGACACAATGAAATGTCGAATCTCAATGTTAGCTTTTATGATCCCTCGTGTGTCGGCTTGTGAAGAGCAACGTCTCTTTAGCCGAGTTTTGAAAAAATGACCACCCGCAGTCTGTCTCCCGAGACGGCTCTCAGGAGTATGACTAAGATCTACTTGCTTTTGACTTCTTCACGCTCCTCTTCCAAATCCGTGTTACATTCTGGGTATCGAGATTGTGTCACTTCTTGTAGCGCTATTGTCAGAAAACCTTGTAATCATGCATCAAATTAAACGAAAGTTAGCTCCGTGATTTCCCCCACGTTCGACGAAACGACACGCCTCTTGTCTCGTGCTTGAGACAGAAAGTTTTCATGAACGTGATGACCTAAATTTTCATCGCTTTTGATCGTAAACGAAGGAGATGGGTATCTGAAATAACCAGTTGATTTTATGTGTCACAAATATTTATACTTAAGTTTTGACTGCGCTTGGAGCGATACAAAAATGATACAGATTATGAAACAAACATCAAAATGATATTGATTGATTCGAAAAATGAAAGGATCTTCTTCTTCATGGCCAAAGTTCCATTCGTGATAATGAAATAATGTAAAGCAGATGCATCGCTGAAATGTCTTTTTTTTAATCCCAGCCGAAGTTTCACTGATTTTTGCAGTGTAAATTCAAACTTCAGTATTAAGATACTGATTTTTGCTCATGTGACTCAACTCGTTTCAGTGCTAACGAATGCAGGGCACCGACAAATGGCGCGTGCGCACTACTTTCTAGTATAGCGTAAATGATAGTCCAAAAAATGGATGATTTTAAATAATTGGTGTTTGGAATGTGTAAATGGGCCTTGTGATGTACATTATTAATATTCGAGATTGCTACTCTATCCTTTCGTTGCCCAACTGAAGAAAAATCACAGAATCTACCAAACTTTGTTTTCGCACCCTTTTTTGTTTAGAGCTTATTTATTACCTTTTCCAAAAGACTAACTCTTGTGATTACCGGTAATGTTATTGTATTCTTTCTTTCTTTCTTTCTTTATTCAGTGGCATCGTACCAATGCTACAACAGAGACCGATGGTTTCCAGGTGAAGCGTCCGGGAAACGAGAATGTGAAGTGTACCCTTCTACTGCTTCTAGATCACCAGGTGGGTATAAAATGGGAAAGTTTAGAAATAATAATGATAATCTGGATTTATATAGCACTTATTATCTTATACCATCTGTAAGCGCTTTACAGATATTATCACCCTAATCATCGGATTCATTCATGTACAATGTGCACCATCTTCAATCCATGATGAGTATTTCCACCATATGCTCACCGTGAGGGCGTATAGCAATTTTAGGTCCCCATTTCTCTCCTGAGTATGGAGTGGCAAATGTAGATTAATGCCTTGCCAAGGAGAAAGAAATGTTTCATTTCACAGTTCAGAGGCCTGGGCTCTGTCTTACAAAAGTCCTCAAATCAATCGCAAGTTTGCAATCTCCTATCTCTTATGTACATAGTTGCAATTGATATCAGTCGCAAGTAAGACAGGGCCCTGAGGTAAATAGGAACTTTGTAATCTATTTCCTTGAACATTAGAAACTAGGAATAACTATTGTTTTTAGAGTGTACCCTTGTACTGGTTTTGGTTTGTATGGTTTAAAGGTAAAGACCAGTATTGGAAACGCCCCAATTTCAAAAAATGAAATGGAAGCTCTCATTACCAATCATGTGAAAGAATATGTTTTGACTAATACATGATGATAAAAAAATTGCCGAGAAACCGCCTACTAATATATATGGTAAATTTGTTTCTCTCATGGACTGTGAGAGATATAGGGTAGTCCCATATACATCTTTCTGTGTATAGTGCTTGTAACTTTACGAAGAATGGGCCAAATTTCTTATCATTTTGATGATTCCAGAACCTTCTAGATGCTAGATGATCAACCTTTTCTGATTGATTCCACAAGGTTTCTTTCATAATGCAATCGCATGACCATAACTGGTCTTTACCTTTAAGGATTTGTTTTAGAGGATAAATGTAAGTGTATTTATTACAGCTTTAAGACCTGATGTGAAAAAAAAATATTAACTCAAATATGATAAAGTAGGGGGGGGGGAATCATTTTCAAAAGCGTGATTCATGTGTGACATCATTTGATCATTTTCTTTTTTAATGATTAATGAAGTAATAATTTGTTATCAATCATCTTGAAAGGATTTTATCCTTGCCTAATATACCGTCACCTGCTTCCAACTAAACTTTGGTGCTTGTATAATGAATCTATTACAATAAGCATGAAGGCTTAAGATGTGATTATAGCCATCTGCAAAGCATCAGAAATATACCCCAAGATACTAAGCGAGCTCACTCTTCATATATATCCTAATAAGAAATGAAGGCTATGATCATCAGCATTAGCTGTATTATTCCATGGACTTCTCTTGATTATTCTCTCTCAGTGTCCTTTCCTTTGCAAGGGGGGCCTCTCAGCAACAAGTTCATTACCCCCTATTCTACAAATCTGTTTACCTTCAAATTCACTACCGTTCTGGTTCTACTCACCCCCTCCAGACAACAAGCAAAGGTTTAAGGATGTACACTTGAGATTCTTTCTTAAATCCCTCGATGGATTATCCGAGATAACTTTCATTTATGCTAGATCCTGTGGCGGTTTGGATAGCGCCGGCGAGCCATCACTCACGAGGCGTTGCGAGGCAGAGGCTATAATTGTCGCGTTCGCTTAATGATTCTGTGCGATGATTCCTTGCGTGAATGTGAACGCTGGTGACCGCGAGTTACCCCGGCTGCGAGCTCTCGTCCGCGTCTGTGGTATTGTGGGGGAATTCTGGTCGTGTCCCCGTGACAAACATATCTCATTAGCGATTCATGAATTCCTTTTATGTCCCGTTTTTTTGCGGATCTGGAGAGATTTGAATGGGAAGACGAAACCCGCCGGGGATAATCTGCGGTGGATCCGTCTCGATTCAAGAATTTGATGGGGTTTTAGATTTCATTTTGTTTCTTGAATGAAACGTGGGTGGGAAATATTCATGAACGTAGTTATGAATGAACATTTAGAACACGATTCTTCATAGATTGAAAGAATCGTCTTTGATTTAGATATTCAAAGAAATCCAAGTACACCTAAAGTAAGCCTCGCAACCACAGCAACCTATTTACGTGTATCGACTACAGCTTCCTGAGACGAATCGTTCCAAACTTTTTGTGTTAATATGGGACAAACTTTATCATTTCATGAATCATGGGTTCATTCTATCGAGAGAGGGCTAGCTACCTCGCTCCCTCTCTCTCTCTCTCTCTCTCTCTCTCTCTCTCTCTCTCTCTCTGGTCAGCTTGGGAACTGTTTCTAAAGTGGATAAGTCACATAAATGGGGTCATATAGATGGTTTTAGCTTTTTTTTGAAAGCAATTGTTTCAGGCAAGGACCTAATGAAATAACGAAGCTGGCCTTACGCTGCATGCCAGAAGGGTCGGCGGCGTAAAACCAGGAAATCAAACTAAACACCACTCCTGCGTTCAAACTCAAATATTATTATTACCCCGGAGGGGACAATAAATTGACAGCACCATTTAGGGAGAAATGTTGAGCGTAGGGATGAATTCATCTCCCCTGTAATTTTGTTCTGTTCCCCCGCCATTATAACTTCTTTTGCAAACCTCCCCCGTATTATCTGGCTTACCCGATATGAGGAGGGTTTTTGTACTTGTTGAAATTGTGCGTGAGGTTTTTGGCCACCCTAGATTTCCTTGGTTTAGATGTGTTAAATTGTTAATGACAGGTTGAAAAGTAAAAGATAGTTAGGTGTTGAGTATGTCTACATCTTTGTATCAAATTAGATGGAATAACATGAGGTTAATAACCTTACCAACTATTACTAATTGTTTGTTTGTTTGTTTTGTAAGTACTTTTATGGTTATTGGCTTTTCTATATTTCTATTTCTATTCATCTAGAAATATTTCTGTTCAACAGTAAAAACCAGTTGATTGAACGTTTGATTAATTATTGAAGATCTTGGATGTGCTTGATTGTTAGTGATGGGTTTGAAGAAAGCATATTTGAGCTGGATATCAGTGATGTCCAGGCATCAAATTGGGTAAAATAATCTGAAGTTAATGACCTTCCTGATCACTATTTGTTTTTTCAATTACTTTTATTGTTATTAATTTTGTTAAGAAATCCATGAAAGCTGAACAATATTAAATATGAGGTTTGTTAAAAGTTTTTAAATAATTATTTAAGGTAATTAGAATGGAAAAGAGTTGAAAGGAAATACAGTAATTGATTTAGCTGGAAATAATCTAGTGGCAGGAATAAGACATTAGAAAAAGCATCGATCAAGTCATCATAATTGGAAAAACACTCTATTAATTATTTTTGTAACACTTACTAAGGGTGTTTGCAATGAAAGTAAAATAGAAGAAGTATGCAAATAGCATAGAATGTAAAGAAACAGAATGCATTTTTGAATGGAAATAAAAATAAAACAGAATTATATATTATTGCAATACCAGCAACTTGAAATCAAATACTTTAGAATTAGATATCAGATGGAAATAAAAATAGAATAAAGAAATTTGAATTGATGATGGAATGATGGTAAAATAAAATCATAGTGGGTTTTGTTGCAATTCTCATTACTGTTTTTGTGGGAATGTTTTCCAAAGTTGCTGTTCACTAATATTAAAAGACGGGAGTTGCTGCTCCCTTGTTTGGCGTTCAACAATAAGGGGTAGAGCAACGTCGATCTTGCGCTGGTTCCTCAGTGGCTGCCGGGCTCACGATCAATTGGGCAAAAAGAATTTCCATTTTCGGTTTAACTTAATACAATTTGGAGTGGACTTTAAAAGATTATTATTATTATTTTTATTATTAGTGCTCAATTGTTTCTGATTTCCTTTCTCCCTACCAGCCTCCCCAGTACAAGCTGGACCCTCGTCTAGCCCGGCTCCTCGGCGTGCACACCCAGACCCGCCCCGTGATCATCAATGCCTTGTGGCAGTACATCAAGTCCCACAAGCTCCAGGACCAACACGAGAGGGAGTATATTAATAATGACGCTTACTTTCAGCAGGTGAGACAATTATTGATTAGGACTAGGACCTAATTTTAAAAGGTCAAGTCCCAACTAATTGATGATGATGAATAGATGAGCACAGAATAGGAATAGGACCTACTTTAAAAGGTCTAGTCCCAACTAATTAATAGTGATAGAGTAGCTAAAGGACCTCGAAAAGGCCTCGTCCCAAGTAGCCAATAACATTATTGAGAATTACAAAATAGGACCATCCTTAGTTTGGTCCATTCAAACGATAAAAATAATGTTATTTATTAATGGTACATATAGGCCCTACTCATTTTCCTTTTGAAGAAAACGAAATGGGTGGGGTGAATCTTCAGTAAATTTTCATAAAATCTGCTTCCTTAAAAAATTAGAAGCCTCTAGGATATGTCACACCAGCTTCAAGATCAGCATTTCCAATTATTATTATTACAATTCAAGTGAATGAAATTACTGGTAATAATCTTTCATTGATTCCACCCTCATATTTACTGTAATATTGAGTAAATGGACTCCAGATTCAAGAAATTTTATTTAACCATAACCAAAAAAAATAATAATAACCACACAAAATAATATTCAAGAAACTTTATTTAACCTGCATAACCACAACAACAACAAATATTACAAAATACAGTACAGAAGAGTCAAATACAAAGTCAAATTAATGTGATAGAAACTAAATTACACAAAATACAGTATGGAATATGGAAAGGACGAAAAGAAAAGCAAATGCTTATGAGGAATGGCCCCCGAAAGAGAGAGAAAAAAAGGGTGAAAAGAAATAAATGATATCCATTTAGGCAGGGAGCTAAACATCTCTGAAGAAGAGTGTTACAAGAGCCAAACATTGCTTGATATAGACACAAAGAGGATGTTGTTTGTCATAGCCCATCTTCTGCTTTGCACTATGTGACTCACGCTATCATCTCCGACCCCATGAGTGCGTGCGTGGGCTATCCTTGTTCTCGTTTCATAAAAGAGAGGGGCGGTTTGGAGGACAGGGCATGGATATCGTGTCCAGTTAGAGCGTCGCCTGGCGCTCGGCCGTCTGCACACGGTCGTAAAAGTCACTGCCAATCTGCGGCGGCTCATCGGGGTGACAGAGCCGTTGGGATCCGTCCGTGTCGGGTTTCGTAGCTCGTGTTGACGTAACGAGTCCAGCCCGCTGTCTCCCCCACAATCTATCCACTAATCATGCCTCAAAGCTCATGTTCGTTCGTGGCTTGGGGAAAGTTCAATGTAGTGTAATGATACAGGCTTTGTGATTCTTAAAACAAAATATATATATATATATATTTATTTTTTGAGCTATTATATGTTAATGTACATTTTTGATATATATATTATTGAGCTATTATATGTTAATGTACATTTTTTATATATATGTTATTGTGCTATTATATGTTCTTTCATTTTTAATTTTTTTTCTATTTTACTGTTATTATGTTACATTATTTGTCTTTTGCCATGTTTATCGTAATGAAAATGAAAATTTAATCGTATCGAATTGGTATCAAGCCAATAAAATGTCATTTTTATAATGAGAAATAAGGCAAAACTGTATGGGTTATATCATGAAGTATAGCATGTACTTTTTTTAAAGAACAGTAAATATTTCTGTTGGCAAGATTGTGTTTATAGGTAAAGATTGTCTATCAAATCAATTTTCAAATTTCTAACAAATTGATGGAGGACATAATCTATGCATGATTGAGAAAAAAAAAGACTTATAAGTATGCTATATTAGAAAAGAAAAAAAATTAATACTGAAATAAAGTAAAACATCAAAATGTTTTTATGATTGGTACTGTGATTCCATATTAAATTTTCATGAGATTAGAAATATATTTTTTTGTATTTTCTCAGAGGAATTACAAAAAAATATTTTGCTCTATTTGTATGCTTTGGTTTTATGATGGTATACGGTACTATCTTTAAAATGACAGCTTAAGACACTACTTTTGTGAAGAGATGCCGCAAAAGATTTAGAGACAAATTAATCTCTAAAATTAATTTAGAAGTGACCTATCAAGTTCTTTAATAGGGTTTTTAAAGTCATTGCCCTCATTAAGATATACTATGAAAACAGTTGATAAGGAATTGCAGCCCTTAATACAAAAATATTCCCATCTAAATTAGATGATAATAATAATAATAATAATAATAATAATAATAATAATAATAATAATAATAATAATAATAATAATAATAATAATAATAATAATAATAATATAATAATAATAATAATAATAATAATAATAATAATAATAATAATAATAATAATAAATAATAATATATAATAATAATAATAATAATAATAATAATAATAATAATAATAATAATAATAATAATAATAATAATAATAATAATAATAATAATAATAATAATAATAATAATAATAATAATAATAATAATAATAATAATAATAATAATAATAATAAATAATAATAATAATAATAATAATAATAATAATAATAATAATAATAATAATAATAATAATAATAATAATAATAATAATAATAATAATAATAATAATAATAATAATAATAATAATAATAATAATAATAATTGATTCTTATTGAGTGCTATTACAACAGAAAAGAAACTTACAAATCATAACAATCATATAAGGAACAGTAATTAAGATGTTATGAACGAAATGAAATTTAGATACTCAAAAAATACATACATTAGAGTATAGAGACTAGACTAGGCTTATGATGAGTATGCTTTGTCGTTATGTTGTGGCTAGTAAGTTAGGTTATGCCCAATTTGTCTATATTTTTGTGGGTTTGAGTAAAAAATGTTAGCTAGAAAAGATAATAGTAGATATCCTGTGCTCCTGAGGGATCCTCTATTTTACCCCAATCAAGTGTGACTTATATTTCCTGTCTCCGGAAACGCTTCATTCAAACTTTTTATTTTTTGTGCCAATTAAGAATTAACAGCATATTTTAACAAGTTACACCTATTCATAAGAGAGTTCTTTAATATTTTGTAGAATCAGTGAAATAAGAAACTATATAAAGAATTGATTTACATGACTTAATTTAGAGTAATGGGATGTGAAAAGTTTGGATTAGAGCGTAATCACGTACTAATCTTTCCGAGTGTGGGAATGTTTTGAGAAACATGTGAAATTAGGCAATCAATTATCCTTTTCCTGAGATCCATTTCATAGTATTCATCCAATTTGACAGTCAGTTGATTATTAAGTAAAAGACTGCAGTTACAGAGAAAGATGTAATGATAAGAGCAACAAGATTATTCTGATGTTTAAAACATTTTGTCGGAGGCCTTTGCTGGCCCCTGTCTTCATGATTTCCATTTGAATTTATTTTTCATTCAAATTATTGATTATGAAGTAAAGTCCTCTTTGGGGGTATTTATTCTTTGAATTTTCTTTCCTAGTAATTTTGTATACATATAGGCCTATGTTAGGTAACTTGGGTTACAAGCATTTTCTGATTATTTCCCAAGTCAGTTTTACAGTTGTTCTGACAAAGTATTTCATTGTTATTTCTATATAGATTTTGTTTAATGTATTTTTAAAAAATCTTTCTCAACCACTTACTTGCATTCTCTATCTCTCTTTCTCTCTCTATCTCTCTATCTCTCTCTCTCTCTCTGTGCCTATCTCTCAATGTATCTTTCTTTCACTCTATCTCTCCTTCCCCCCCTCTCTCTCTCTCTCTCTCTCTCTCTCTCTCTCTTTCTCTCTCCTTCCCTCCTTCCCTCCTTCCTTCCCTCCCTCTTTACCTCCCTCTCCCCCCTCTCTTTCTCTCTCCTCCCCCCCCACAGATCTTTGACTGTGAGCGGATGAAGTTCTCTGAGATCCCCCATCATCTTCATCCCCTTCTCCATGCCCCTGATCCAATCGTCATCCACCACACCATCAACGTCGACAGCACCGACCAGAAGAAGACTGCTTGTTACGACATCGATGTCGAAGTGGTAATGCACCCCATCACTTCACTATAAGTTGATTTATTTGTTGCAGATATTCATCGAAACTATTCAATTATTTCTTTCAACTAATCTAATTAAACACCAACAAGTTTAAATCTGTTATTTACTCTTTGTTTATGTATCTGCATGTATCCTTTCAATGCCAAAATGTCTCTTCTTAAAAAAATTCTTAAAAAATTGAAATTCTCCTGGGAAGCCGAACATTCAAAGCTATAGTCCTAATGGCGAATTGATGAATACTAATGAGTCAGAATAAGTTGGGAGAGCTGATGATTCTGTCCCAAGATCATCCTGACATTGCCATGGACCAGTGATGGCCTGGTGGTAGAGTCACTACCTGACAAGCAGAACTGGATGGCAGGTTCAAATCCTGCTGTTTTCTGGGGGGGGGGGGACTTTTATGTTTTTTGTGTTTAAAAAAAAAAATTCTTGTTTTAAATTACAAGAGTGAGCACACAATCTTTATTTACAGGTTGCAAGCAAAAAATTCCTTTAGAAAAAATGAAGTTACTTCCAGAAAGCTTAACATTTAAAGCTAATGTCCCTTTTGCTGGGTGCTAGAAGGACATTAAATCTATTTCAAAGAAAAATTATGAGATAAAACCCCTCTGTCTCTATACAAGATGTATTGTCCACTGGTAACGTTTTTGGGCTTCCGTTTTGACATCATTTTACAGGAAAACCATTCATTAAAATAATAATAATGATAACAGATTCAAGAACAACAAAAAAGGCAATTAACAGCCTGGAAGAAGGAAGATAGTATTCCATGATAACTGGTAAAAAAAATTATTTTATCATATGCATATGGTAGCATTTTTTAAATATGGGCCAAAACCCTTTTTTGGGGATTATAACATAACACGAAGGACCCATGTTTTTGTTGTCTATAAATCTAGTTTTATTCGACCTCCGTACGAAGAAGCAGGTCATGTTTCTGGAGGAGTCCATGAGGCCTGGCTGGAGATGTCATTTGAGTATTTAAAATCTCCCTGAAGAGCAAACAATGAAAGTTGATATCATAACCAGTCAAAGCTATGACAGCAGCATGTGATAACCTACTGTTTATATTATCTGTTATTGTATGCAGCTCGTTAGGTAATATCAATCCCTGAAACTCGAATTCTGTCCTAAATATGATATAGACCCTTCGGGCTGTGTTCCGATCATCGTGACCTTGATAAGACGGGAAAGAAGAGTGTTAAATTTGCTTCAAGGGACAACAGAAACGTCTTATTGAAAGAAGAGAGGAAGAAAGAAATTTGGAAAAGGATTCATAGATCTTGAAGGTTTGGTAGAAATGTGTCAAGATTCTGTGTATTTGGGTCAAGAAGGCGAAGTCACATTTTCCTGTACCTACAAAAGAAAAGGTTTATTGAAAGAAGGAAGAAAGGAAAAATAAATTTTATTTAAAAAATCATAGAACCTGAAATTTTGGTAGAAATGTGTCAAGATTCTGTATGGGTCAAAGAGAAGATAACACCTTTCCTCAAGTTACAAAAGAAAAGGCTTATTGAGAGAAGAAAGAAGAAAGAAATTATTTATACCATTTTTTTTAAAAACCTGAATGTTTGGTAGAAATGTGTCAGGATTCTGTGTATTTGGGTCAAGGAAAAGATGTCACTTTTTCTCAACCTATAAAAGAAAAGGTTTATTGAAAGAAGGAAGGAAAGAAGAAAGAAACTATTAAAAATAATAAAAACCTGAAAGTTTGGTAGAAAATGTGTTAGAATTCTGTGTATTTGGGTCAAGAAGGCGACGTCACCTTTCCTCTACCCCTTTCTTGCGCTCATGTGCCAAACACATGTGACCCCTCCTTCCATCAAAAAATTCAGATGGATTTAACAGGCGACTGAATGAGTCAGTTAGGGTCACAAGTATTGCTAGGCTGTCGTCATGTTTATCAAATGAACATGCTCACACTCCTTCCGTTTTTTTCCCCCTCCATATCTATTCCTTATTTCCTGTATGGCTCTTGGAATTAGATCCATGTTTTTGAACGACATACCACATGGTGATTTCCTGCTTGTGTCAGTATTTAAATCATGACATCTTGGGTTTTTGATTTGTAGGTCATTAATTATCTTCTTTAAGTGCCCTATTTTAGTTTTATTTGTCATACAACCTGTCATTTTGTCAACATACCGTATACATTGATTTCTTTTTCTTTCTTTTTTTTCCCTCATTTTAAACCAACTAAAATATCTAGAAAGCGGATATACACATGTATCCTTATATGCCCCACTGAAGGGTGTGAATAAGTACACATAATATCAGAGTTTTAATCCTTCTTTAACTGCAGATGCTCATTTCAGATTGTGTATTCTCTAGATGGTTCCCTGTGTTCGGTTCTAAGTTCTATATCATTCATTTTTATTAATTTTTATTTTTTCATTGCAAAATTGAAAAGAATATTGTACAAATACATGTTTTGTGCCCCTCTACCTGGCAGCAAATGGTATGGGCATGTGAAACTATGGACATTGGTTGTATCCATGGAACTACAAGCTGGGACTGGCATCTTACTCCAGTCAAGAGAATTCTCTTGGTCTCAGAGTTTGAAAATGTGCTACTCAACCTGCCATTCAACAATAGATCTTCTAGGAGGCCACCATGCTCAGACCGTTCAGTAGGTGTTGGAGAAACATCAAATGACACAATAAGAGACTCTTGATCTCAAAAGATAGAGGGTGAAGGTAGGATGAAGATAGTACTTTGTCTGATATAGTGTAAATGTATATAATGATGAAGAAAAGGGGCATGGCCATGAAGAGCCATCTTGTGTTTAAAGGTTAATGGACTTGTATCTTCCTCCCCGTATAGGCCCACCAATACAAGTAAGCCCTAGATTCCGGCATCTCACATGCACATTTTTCTCCTAAATCCGCCCGCATCTGGAGCGACTTGATGGAAAATCCCCTTCACCCGAGCCGAACCCTTCCTTCAGGACTCGCCTTAACAACGCTTTTCACACGTTTGTTTCCGTGCGACGCCTCCCCCGAAGTGCGACTCTAGCTGGATTTCCTCAAGTGCCTGTTGCGGGATGATTCCATCTCCCCGAGGAGTCCCTAAGAAAACCCTCACTCCACACCTCTAGATACTCCTATATTTTTTGCCCCCCATTTTTAGTCTTTCTTTCTTTCTGTTTTGCTGTGCTCTAGTGTTCTCTTGTTTCAGAGTTAGTGAGGAATATATTGATTGTGGAGAAAATTAGGAATTTTTGTTTTCTTTTTGGAATTGGAGACCAATTATGCATCCCTGTATTCAAAATCTTGTTAAATGCAGGAAAATCAGTTGTAGTGATGAAGAAGTGTTAAAGAATCTCTCTTGCACTCCATTTCTCTTTCTCTTTTTTTCTCTCTCTCCCTCTTTCTCTCTATAATCTCTTTCTCCCCTTGCTCTCTCTCTCTATTTCTTTTCTCTCTCTATTTCTTGCTCCCCTTCCTTCTCCCCCTCTCTCTCTGAGTCTCTCTCTCTCTACTTGTTTTTTTCTTTTTCTCTCACTCTCTCTCTCTTTGTTTTTCTCTTTTTCTTTCTTTTTTGTTGTTATCATTTTTTTAATTTTTTAAAATTGTTATTATACTTTACTTCTCTTGTCCCTGATGCTTCTTCATCTCCCGTTTGGTTTTTCCGATCTTTAACCCCCCCCCCCCTTCTCCTTTTTAAAAACCCCCTCTCCTTCCTCTTCTCTCTTTTTCATTGTGTCTTCCTTTTTCCTTCAGTGTATACAAAATAGTTGTATGGAATATCAGTTCTTCACATACACATTTTTTATAGCATTTGTGATACTTCAATTGCTCTACATCTACATGTACTGATAACTGAGAGGAAACATTTTATTGTTGACAGACGAGGTGCCATAAACATCCTAATCAAATGTTCCTAATTTGAAATATCGCTCACCGTTACACTTTATCCCACGGGCCGACACACTCCCTCCTCAAATTAGTGGTTAATAAATTGAATTATGCAAACAAACACGGGGATTTGACACTAAACTCTGCCTAACACGGAGCGGCACGCGCAAACTTTGGAATCGAGGGCAACATCGACTCTCCTTCCCCAAACAAAGCAGGTGCCTGTTAATGATTCTAGAGCGCCACATTTTGTGAGGCTGTGGATGAAATGCTTTGCCCTTGCCAAGGCGAGTCAGACTTCAAACAGTTGCATCATATGGCGTGAATCAAATTTGACTCACTTTTGCTCTGCTCGCGTCAACCGCTGCGGACCACCCACGAACACGGAGGCAAAACAAAGACGAAATTAGGGCTCAGACAAAAGACGTTTAATAGATAAGTAGGTCAGACTTGGCTTGACTCGAACACATTTTATAATCGTGACCTGGTGTAGCTGTTGGTTGGGGGCTGCCGGCTCTGAACTATGGGGGCCCTCTCCTATGGGGGCCCTCTCATTAACCAAAGCCCCATAAAATATTTCTTGATGAACTTAACAAAATAGGATTCAGATGATTTAAGATCTTTTAAGGTCATGGTTATTACGCTGTGCACCTTATCTTTCAATTTCTTTGTTTTTATCCATATTTGAAAACCTTTAAGAATGAGTTATTTTTCGTGTATTAAAAAACAACAACATTTTTTTTTTTTAAATATTGACAACTTCACTGTCTAACACATACATGTACAGCCGCATCTCTCTCTCTCTCTCTCTCTCTCTCTCTCTCAATCTATCTCTCTCTCTTTCTCTTTTCCCCTCTCTCTATGTCTGTCTCCCTCTCTGTCTTCTGTATATCATTCCCTCTTCTTTCTCCCCCACCTCTCTCTCTCTCTCTCTTTCTCTCTCTCTCCATCTCTCTCTCTCTCTCTCTCAATCTATCTCTCTCTCTCTCTCTTTTCCCCTCTCTCTATCTATATCTGTCTCCCTCTCTGTCTTCTGTCTATCATTCCCTCTTCTTTCTCCCCCACCTCTCTCTCTCTCTCTCTCTTTCTCTCACTCTCTCTCTCACTCTCTCTCTCTCTCTCTCTCTC